ATCTACCTATCTATCTATCTATCTGTCTGTCTATTTGTCCCCATCATCAAAGCGTTTTTCTCTGAAGAACCCTGGCTACAACAGGAGGGAAGTCAAGGCTAAATGGGAGGTGATATTTGCCCGGTGTAGGAGGTATGATTCTCTCCTACAGGTATGATTAAGAGTAGTGTTTCCATGACCTGGTCTTGAGCCTCATACCATGGATGTCCATTAGGAGTAGAATTGCAGCTCTAGCAAAGAGAGGGAGCAACTGTGAACAAAGACACTGGTAAGAGTTGGGTATGAAGTGAAAGAACCCTTGGTACCCCTCCCCCATGTCTGTGACAGCAACAGAGTTCCCCTGCTGGCTGGGCTGGCACAGCAGGGACTGACCCTGCCCAGCCCCTCCCCTCACCAGGTGGAGGACAGTGCCCCTTCCTTGTGTGAGGAGGACCAGGAGGCCTTGGCCTGGCTGGGAACCACACATCTCCAGATGCGCCCTCTCTGTGCCCACCAGGCCACACCCAGTCTCAGTTGGGGCCAACATCACAAGGCCGTGCCAGGCTGGCTGGGGGGCAAAGGTCTGGATGCCAGAGGATTGTCACAGACAACACAGCGCCCTGCAGGGAGAGGGCAGAATGTGCAGGGTTCCAGTCCTGAGGAAGCGGGGTGACAGTGGTGGCCTGTTGAGGCGAGACCCCAGCGCTTGAGAAGGAGAGCTGACAGTCACGGGTGGAGGGACTTGGCACAGCCCTGGGGGATACGGCCGACCTGCTGCTGGGCTGGGTCCCGGGGTTTCAGAAAAGCACTGAGTGTACAGCATGGAGGAGAAGATGAGGAAATCCAAGGTAGGTGGTACAGGGTGGGGTTACAAGGCCCCAGGAACACATATGCCAGAGTGGGTACGGTGTGCAAAGCCAGAACGAGCATGAGCTGTCTGCCCACTGTGCTCCAGGGAGAGGAGGGCCGTTTGTTCATGGAGCTTCCAAGGACGCTGGTGACGATGATGTTCAAGGTAGGCCACCAGAGAATGTGTCGCTTTGGCACATGGGTCATTTTGAATTAATGTTGCTTAAGAATAGCCGGGCAAGAAGGACACTCTGACCCTCCCTTGTCCCCCTAAAAGCAAGACACCCTGCCTGTACCAGGAGGTAGAGGGGCATCCTTAGCACAAGACACAGGGAATTTAGAGCCACGAATCCATGTAGACAAACCTGATCTCTGCATTTCAAGTTACTCCTCCAAGCTCAAACTTCATGTGGTCAATTCTTTACAAAGTTATTGTTTCTTTTTCTTTCTTTCTTTCTTTCTTTCTTTCTTTCTTTCTTTCTTTCTTTCTTTCTTTCTTTGTTTTTAGAAGAATGTCTTCTTTTTTTAAAGATTTTATTTATTTATTTTTAGAGAGGGAAGGGGGGGAGAGAGAGAGAGAGAGAGAAACATCAATGTGCGGTTGCTGGGGGTCATGGCCTGCACCCTAGGCATGTACCCTGACAAAGTTGCTGTTTCTTTGTCAAAGTTTATGAAACTGGCTCCTTTGGCCACTTGTTTCTCTGATATAACCCATGTGATATGAATTTAATTTTTAGACCGGTCATAAGAACCCAAAAGGGTAGAGGAAATATTCTTCTTCCCTGACAGTGGGAAGGGCCCCAGCATTTTGGAGAAGCTCAGTGCTGGCCGTTCCTGATGGCTGGCTTGGCGGGTGGAGGTGTTGTTCCTGAGACAGGCGCTCAAGTGTCATGGGCACAGGCAGCGCCATGATTGAAAAGGTCACAAAGGTTGGAGTGCCAGCCAAGGGTCCAGCCCACAGAAAACTATAGCTTTGACTCATACAATGCAGTAATCCCAGAAGCAAAATGGATGAAAGCCTACTCAGAGAGTGCTGGATTTAAATAATAACAGTAATAATAATAATAATAATAATAATAATAAACCAAAACACAAGCATAAAGAGGAAGCTAAAGTAGTCTCTCAAGAAAGACACTGGATCCTTTGTCCAGTTTCCAAAACTCAGCCACTTCTGAGACCTCGAACCCATTACTAGACCGAGTGGGTGGGACCCAATCATCAGGGACCCTTCAAGTTGACAGCAAAGGCCATGTGGCTACTGAGCTGAGTGAGTGTGTGCACTGGGGAGCAGAAATACCCAGACATTGCCATTGGGCCTAGTGTGTGAGCTGACGTCCTCCCCAGGGACTGGAAGTATCAACATTGGGCCCGTTAGTACAGTGATGCACGGGCAAGGAGCCCAGTAATAAACAGGCACCTGTCCTGGGTCCTGCACACAGAGGTGTCACTTGGTTCAGCAATTCACATAGTGGTCATTTCACATTCCCCAGATTTGTACCAGGAATAGAAAATCCTTTTGTTAGTGAATTACTTGTGGCATGAGGGCACACAGTAGGGAAGTTCAATGATCACCTCCTCAGATTTTCTCCTCTTTGCTCCAAAGAGATTGTTAAGATAGTATCTTATCCTCAGTGAAATAACAGAGAGGAGTACCAGCCTTAAAAATGTCTAAGGAAGCAGGCGTGTATCCCTCTCCTAGCTCCATTTAATTGCCCACCTGGTGGGAAGAGTGTGTATAGGTGGGCATCCATGAAATATCTCAGGCTTTGCAGACCAGACATCTGTTGCAATGACTCAGCTCTGATGTTGAGGCATGAGAGCAGTGATAGCCAGTACTCAAATGGATGGATGTGGCTGTGTCTTGTTCTTGGGCCATAAGACCCAACAGAATGATGACACAGAGGTATCCGTAGTAAGGCAAAGTGCGATGGGGACTTCATGGCATTCCTATTGGAGAATCACAACACAGTCCCCTGGTGTACAGAGGTAAGGCCCTGTCCCTTGCAGCAGGGAAATGCCCACCATGAAAAGAGGCTCCTGGTAAAGCACTGGGGTCTGGTAGAGACAATGGCTCTGGCTATGGACTCTGGGAGTTGTTGATCATCAGTTTCATTAGGTCAGATAGGCCCAGCTATGATAAGACTCACCTGATTCTTTGGGCTTTGAAATGATCAGAGTCACAGGGAACATATAAGATAGAGAGACAGGTGTCCTTGATTTTGACACCAAAAATGTAGCATCGGCACTGCCCTCAGGTTACACCTGTGACTTCCTGCAGTGTCTCAAGGGCCCCCTGGGACCAGGAATTCAGTCTGCAGAGCGCAGGGGAGCGGTGGCCTATTGGTGCAAGACTCAGGCCCTCTGACAGTCACTCCACCCTGAAGCCACAGGGCAGCAAACAGTTCGGGGTCTTCAATGAACAGTGGACAGATTCGACAGGTCACCCATATCTGTGAAGACACCCTATGTACTCCTAGTGCTGGGTCAGCAAAGTATTGACAGTACAGTGGCCATATCTGGTTCCCCATCTGTTTGCATGTTGTCTCTCGCGCTGCTATGGCACCATAAATGTGGAGGTGTGTGGTGCACGCGGAGACAGAAAGAATCATCCTGCAATGATCATAAATAACATTACTATCTGTCCTTTCTCTAGAAACAGTTTGCAGCCTCCTGCCTAAATCTATGACCATTATATGCTGCTGCCTCCTCAGCAGGTGGAAGGTGTGGGTTTGGGACCAAAGGGGAGAGAGAGAGGGCCCTTCCTTCCCAGCCTTCCCAGGTCACACTTTGGAAAAGTGTACTTCCTGTGTCTTCCAGCCCAGATTTCCGGGGCCAGGTGCAGAGGCTTTTGCTGGGTGTGTCCTCAAGCCAGGGGAGAAGGTGCCACTTGGAACAGGAAGGGGTTCAGGGCACTTCACAGGTGGGAAGGTATTGGAGGCACTGGTGTTCTTGGGACCTCACAGATTGTGCCTTCATCTGAAACACCAATTCCAAAGAACCTATGCACCCCAATGTTCACAGCAGCACAATTTACAATAGTCAAGTCCTGGAAGCAACCAAAGTGCCCAACAGTAAATGAATGGATCAAAAAACCTGGGTACATTTACACGATGGAATTGTATGCAGCAGAAAGAAAGGAGCTCCTACCCTTCCCGACAGCATGGATGGAGCTGGAGAGCATTATGCTAAGCGAAAGAAGCCAGGCACTAAAATACAAATACCATATGATCTAACCTTTAACTGGAACCTAATCAACAAAACAAACGAGCAAGGAAAATACAACCAGAGACAGGGAAATACAGGACACACTGACAGTGACCAGAGAGGAGAAGGGTGGAGGACAACGGAAAGCAGGGGGAGGGTGGGCAAGGAACGTGTATAAAGGACCCAGGGACGTGTATAAAGGACCCAGGGATAAAGCCAAAGGAAGATAGGACTGAGGGTGGGAGTGGGGGTGGTGAGGTGGGGGACATGGTTAATGGGATTTGAATAACAATAAAAAAGAGTGATCTTAGAAAAAATTGTGTCATAACCCTGGGTGAGCTGGGTGAGGAGCAGTCAGTCCCTGGGGAGGGAGGTGCAGCAAGGAGTGCCTGGAGCTGCAGGTTCAGGGAGCTGCTGCAGGGGGCGCTGGTTAGCTCAAGGGCGGGGAGCCCTGGGGATGATGGAGGGAGGGTTTGTGTGCTAAAGTCTTGAGAGCAGGGTAGGGGCCTGTGGTCGTCTGTTGGTGCCTGTGGGTGGAGACCCTGCGGGAACACCCCCTGTTCTGACCACACCTGGGGTGCCAGGGGAACCCTGGTTCCCACTTCTGCAGAGGTGGACTGGTGGGGGTGGGCCGTGTTGGGGCGTGAGAGGTGTGTTGGGAGTGTGCGGGGCGGGGCTTGGTTCTGGGGCGTGGTCAGCGGAGCTGGTCGGGTGTTAGGAAGATGGGCTCTTTTCTCTCCCGGGGGCTGGAACGGCTGCATTGGGCGAGGAAGTGGGTTGAGTGTGAGTGTGTGTGTGTGTGTGGGGGGGGGGCTGGCTTTGAGGAGCGCACGCCCTGAACCAAGTGCTACTGTCTCTGAGAACCCTGGAGGGCCAATGCCTCCCTCACCGCGCCCAGGGCGTGGGGCGGGGAAGGGGTGGAGCGGGGCTATTCCTGGCCTTGGTGAGTCAGTGCCGCCAGCCGGGGATGCCGCTACTCCAGTGCGTACTTCTTCGACCCGTCGCCTCCCCCGCACCTCGCTCCAGGCATGGAGAGGACTCCCGGTCCCGACCGCGGGCGGACACTGTCCCGCGCGCTCTGCGCACACGCCTGTCCGGACAGCAGCTGGGGCTCGGACCGCCGCGCGCCATGGAGCCCGCCGGGTCTGTGCTGGGGCTTCTCCTCCTGGCCCTGGTCGCGCCGCGGGGCGGTGCATGGGCAGCGGTTCCTGCTGGGACTCAGGACGGTGAGTTCGGGGTGTAGCGCTCAGGGCGGTGGCTGGGGCAGCGAGGGAGGGAAAAGTGGGGGTGGGGGGGCACTAGGTTCTCGGACGGGGACGAAGTGCCCCGTGCAGTTCCAGAACTTCCAGGCCGGGGAGACGCAGCCCCCTCCTCATTCCCCTGCGCCGGATCTTTTCGGGTCGCGGTGCGGGGCAGGTGCCTTCAGGCAGGAAGAGGGGAAGTGGGTGGCTGGGGACGTGGAGGTGGGGCGCGGCATCTGAAGGAGCAGGGAGGGGGGAAGGAGAAGTAGCTGAAGCCAACAGGGATCATCCCCAGGCCGCTCTCCACCCCCGGTTCCCGTCGTTCTTCTGGGGACATGGGCGCCCCTGCCCCTGACTGGCTTTTCTTGTGGGTTCCAACCCACAGACAGCGGCACGCCGAGATACTGTGCTCACACGACTTCCCCAAGTAAACCCTCTTGCATCCCCAACTGCCCCCCCCCTTGAGCTTCTGCGGGGGCTCTGGGGGCAGGTCCGGTCCAGTGGCCCCCGGGAAATTTTCCCTCCACCCGCAGCTGGGCCTGATGAGTCACCACTCATAGCTGGGATTGAACTCCTGGCTGAGAGAAGACTGCAGCCCAGGGTCACGTGACTCCCACCACTGTTCCTGAGGAGCACTGCTCCCCTCCCCAGCTCACCCCGTTTTATTGCCCTGTTGGTGGGGGTCCCCAAAACACCAAGTGCCTCCAGTACCTTCTCATCTGTGAAGGGACCCCAATCAGTTCCTCCACCAAGTGGGTCCTTGTCCCCATCCCCCGATGACACACTCAGCTGAAGCCCCTTCTCCTGGCCCACAGATCCTGGAGCAGGAGGGGCAGGGGGCCCGTTTTTCCCAAGTGTGATCCTGGGGCTGGTGGTCAGGGAGGGCCCTGCCTCCTCCCCTTTGGTCCCACACCCCCATTTTCCACCTGCTGAGGAGGCAGCTTTACACAAAGGCCGCATAGGTCAGGGCAGGAGGATGCAAACATTTTCTATAAAGGGTAATCGTGAATTTTTGTTTTTACAGACTTCTTGCATCTGTCTCTGTAGGCACTGGGCACCTCCATGGTTGTGGGGAAAAGCAGCCAAAAATATCAAACAATTAGGGGACCAGTTGTGGCCAGTCCTATCAGATGTGGCCACTTCCCTAGTGTGCTGGCCCCAGGTTTAGAGCAGATAGGGAGCCCCGTCTATGGGTGAGCACTGCCTTAGGGAATCGTCTCCCAGGATGCCCTTGCTGTTTGTTCAAGAGCCACAACCATGCTCTATCTTTTTTGTTTGTTTGTTTTGGGTAAAGATTTTATTTATTTCTTAGAGAGAGGGGCAGGGAGGAAGAAAGAGATGAGGAGAAACAATGAGAGGGGAACCTGACCCACAACCCAGGTGTGTGCTGTGACCAGGAGCTGACCCAGGGACCTTTCTGATCCCAGGCTGGCACTCATCCCGCTGAGCCACACCAGCCCGGGCCAGAACCCGCCCTATTCTGCCTGTGGTTTCTGGGAGGGGTGGCATGCGAGGATGTGGGTCCCACAGGCAGGGGCCTCTGCGCCCCTTCCCTGTGTGGACTGGTTCCTGGGTGAAGGGGCGTGGGAGACAGTGCGTGAAGCCATAGGTGTGAGTGGAGGGTGGTGCTGGTACTTTCTGGGGTCAAGATGGGGCCACCTGCTGCTACATCGCATTGTTCCCTGTGACCCTGCTCCTTTCTGTGCCAGAGAAGTCACCTCTACCCTATGAGCACTCGGCCTGCCTTAGCCAGTGACGCTCATGATGGGCAACTCTGGTGTTTCATAGACAGAAGTCCTCTCTACCAGGCCCTCTTTAGAGGGTGTGGATTTCCCTGACCCAGAGCACCTGTACCTGTGATTTGTTATCTTGACATTCACCACCCCCGTGACTGCTGCCAGCCATTTGGGGAACACTGACTCCTACCACCATGCTGACCTTCTGCCAAAGGCATCATTGAGCTTTCTGAGAATTGTCGCACTCTTCTCAAACATGCCGTCCTCCTAGGCTCAGTAAACAAGATTTGGCTTCAGGCTTCCCCATGGTGCGTGGTTGATTGGACTCTTTTCTGCCTTTTCATACTATACCTCCCCCAGCAATATTCACTTTTCTGAGTCAGCTGACCCTTCCTCCACAACCTGCTTGGAATTTCTGGTTGTTCTGCTCCAGGCACGGTATCCATGCTTTCTGCCTACCTTCCAAGACCCATCTCAGCAGCAGGTTGGCGCCATTGCCCAGGGCTATGCTAAATCACGACCTGAAGTCCTTCCTCCTTCTCCCACATTAAGATCTATCCACATATCCACCCAACTGTCACCCACCTTTGTCAGGAGCGGCCCCCTACATGTCCCTGCAGGGCCCTGGCTAGTTCCTGACAATTGTCTGGTGTCTAGATTTTTCCTCCAAAGCTGCTTGTATGTCCCTGGGTTGGTTGTGGGCTGAGTGATGATGGGTATTGGCCTGGTGGGCAGAGGGGACATGTTTGGAGACGTGTGGTTTCTGGTGTGACTTCTGCCAGACAGAAGCCTCCTGGTTTCCCTCAAGCAGGGGAGGGGAGCTCACCCTCACCTGGTGCAGAGAGGGGCCTGACAGGGTCAGTGCTCGGTCTGCCAGCTCAGGTGTCAGGGGGAGTCACTTGTTGGCACAGAGATGGGGGAGATGCTCATGGTCACTTTTCTTTCAACCCCACCTTTCACCTGCATTTTCTCCTTCACAGATGCACCCTCTATTTGCCCTATATTCATTGTCTCTGCCAGTGGACCACCATGGTGTGAGTTTCTTGGCATGATCAGTGGGACCCCATTTTTTAAATATTCTTGCAAGAGTCAGACGGCCGAGCCGGTCGGTCCTGTGGGGATGATGCTGAATGCCACAGAGGCCTGGAACCAACAGTGTGAACACTGGACGGAGCTGTTCCCTGAGCTCCAGATCGCACTGCTGGACAATCAAAAAAATATTGACGAAGCCTTTGGTGAGTTTGCATGATCCAGGGTAGAAGTAAAGCAGTGTTGCAGGGGTAGGGAACAATCGTGTTTATGTGAATATTGGAAGTGTATCCTACCCAAGAGGCCCAGCAGGCAGGGTAGGACAGAGAGGAGCGAGCAGAGCCAGGAGACAGGAGGGGAGCAGAGGGCTGGTTACTAGGTGGGGACAGACCATCTGTGAAGACCTGAGGCTGACCTCTGTCCCGCGGCGGTAGGGAGAGATTCTCTTGCCCTGCAGGGCAGCATGATGTGTGAGCAGGAATCCAATGGATGCCGCAAAACATTCTGGGAGTTTGGCTTCAAAGGAGAGATGTGTCTCCGCTTTGACTCGAAGAACAGACGCTGGGCAGAGTTGCACCCTGGATGTAGTTCGTTGAAAGACACACTGGACGATAACAGTGATATATCCAGACGCCTTGGTTGGATCTCAAATGGAAATTGTGTGAAGTTGCTTAAGCAGAGCACAGTTCTGAACACAAAAGGTAACTGCAGAGGGAAAATTTATGGTCCCTTGAAATGGCATTGACACTGTGTCTGTTTCTGTGTTTGTATGTGGTTTGAGAAACTGACCTGACCACAGTGGGTTTTTTAAAAATAAAGCCACAGGAATGTCCCCCATCCGTCCTTTCCCTTCTCACCTCCTTACATCTCTTCTGCCTGCACTTAACCTTGGGCCACTCGCTGTGGATTTCTTGCTGACCCCAAGCATGAGGGCCTCGTTCTGTCCCAGACCTGTTCCTTGTACTCTTCCCTTGTCTCACCTCACTTTTCTTCTTTATCTGGCCTGCTTATTTCTGCAAGTCCTTCAACAGCTCCTTGAATCAGCTCCTGAGAAGGCTGTTCTCTCTCCTTCCTCATGTGTCACCTCCTCTTCTGTCACAGCAGGAGGGACTGGGTATGTTGTGACCCTGCTTCCCCCATTAGCTGTAGGAGCCCAAGGGGTCAGGGCCCATGTCCTCTCTTTGTTCCAGCCCCAGGACCTGCCACAGTGGCTGCCACACTAGAGGGGCAGCACCTGTCCATATTGTAGGGTGACCTGGGGCTTCAGGGCTGAGGGGGCATCTCCTCATAAATGGGGTCTGGACAAGGCTGACACTCTGGTGTTTCCCTTGCAGCTGCATCAATCATGGCCACAGCTACGGTCCCAGCCCCAGCCCCATCCAAGGCCGTGATTGTCAAGGACAACATCGCATTGGTCCTCACACCGATTTTTATCTTACTCACACTTGGCATCTAGGCTGGATCCATTACAGGTACGGAGGAACAGGTAACAGGTACGGAGGGCATAACAGTGGGAAGTGGGGTGCAGAAGGCCTACAGTGAGGACAGGGAAGGTGGCTTCCCAGACTGACACCTGTACCCTCACTGAACGTGGAAAGGAGACCAGGACAATAAGACCTAGTACCACTTGCCAGCAGTCACGTGGACAAGCTCAGCCCCCAGATCTGCTCTCTCCTCACTGTGGGTGCCAGAGGGACAGGCAGGGGCCCACACCAAGGCCTAAGGCCTGCTGGTGCTGCAGGGGTTGAGTGTTCAGGCCTGACTCAGAGTCTCTGTTGGCAGAGAGTGTTTCGGCCCAGGGTGGGGACAGCAGGTGCACAGATCAGAGGTGTGCTCACATTCAAGTGAGAGCAGTGTGGTGGCTGCATGGGATGTGTCCAGGGGACGGCAACTGTCCAGGGGGCAATAGGAGTGGGCCTTGGTCTAATCCCAGAAAGAAGGTGGGGGGACTTGCAGACCAACTCAAAAGGCTGGAGTTCTGGACTCTGTTCCCACAGAAAGGGACTTCGGGTTGGCATGTGAGACAACAGGTGAACAGTAGGGAGTGTGCAAGACCAGGTTAGGGGGCCAGTGTTCTGTGGACCCCTAGGACTCCAGGGTCAGCCCTGGTATAGTCAGCTGGCAGCCAGCCTCCTTTAGACCCCAGATCCTGAGCCCCTGAGGGGCCCTGCCCTGAGCAGAGGTGACTGGGGAGGTGGGTGGGGCTGAGCTGCTGGTGGAGGGGGATGCAGACAGTTGACTGCAGCAGGAGTGCACGGGGCAGGGCAGGGACAGTGGGACTCAGAGTGGTGTGCTGGGACCAGGGCGAGGAGAGCAGGAGAGAGGAAAGGAAGATGTTTGTCTGCATCCCTCCCCAGTGCTAGACGATCAGGATGCAGGCCCCTCTCTGCACAGGGCTCCTCATCGGTGTTGTAGGATCAGGGCTTCAGTGGAGGGAGCAGGGCAGTTCCTGGCCCCTTGAGTCCTCTCCCCACCTGTCCTTAGGCCCTAGGGTCTGACTGTCGTGTGTTTGTTTTCTGGTGACAGAAGATGCTGCTCAGGAGCTCCAGAGAGTGTGGTCTAGTCCTACATGTGTCCCTTCCTGTCAGCCACCTTGCTGTCATCTCCAGCTGCTGGAGCCTCCAGGGCCTGTTGACTTCCAGGAGCTGCAGCCCTTACAGCCTCCAGGAGACCGTGGTGCTACAGCAGATGAAACATTCCTGTCATCTACTCCATGGAAGTGGCCTGGAAGTAATTTACTTAGTAGCATATTACATGCCCTGTGGTGTCTGGGCTAATAGGAAAGCTATTACACTACGCCTGTGTAGAGTGTTTACAAATGGAACACTATTTAGAACTCAATAAATACTAAGCTGCCAAAGAAAATGTGGATGACTCTCGGAAATAAGATGTTGAGGAAAGTGTCATACACAAGAGAACGTGCATGCTAAGTGGGTTCCACTGTATCAGTTTCGAACACAGACAAAACTGACCTGGGGTAATAGAAGTCAGAGTCGGGGACACAGTGGGTGTGACCCGTGACTTGAAACAACAGGCGATCGTGCGGGCGGATTTCCTTTTGAAAATACATCACACTGACCATTTAAGATTTGTACTCTTTCCTCTTGCGATATTACATGCCAACAAAAAAAGCTTTAAATTTTTTTAAGTAGAGGGTTCAGTCTTCATTGATCTCTTAAGAAATCTGTTGTTTTCTCTTGTCAGGATCATACTCAATGATGAGTTAAATTATAAATACAACAAACACATTTTTCTGCACTAACACTAAGCGATCATTACTTTCTTCCACTGTTGTCATCCTCCCTGCAGTGTTCTGTCCAGGCGGAAGCAGGCAGATATCAGTGGTTGAAGTGGAGCAGTTGAAGAAAGTCGGCGCTTTAGGGTTGGAGCCGCGCTCCTGGGGCTCTGTGTGGGCCCCCAATTAAGATTCCTTCTGATGAGAAAATAATTTACTCTGCCTGCGATTCAAGGAGGAGCAATGTAGTGATGTAAGAAATGACTTCAGCCTCTAGCTGCCTAAAGGAATAGCAAGGATCTGTCTGTCTGTATTGTACGAGTGGGCCCTGAAGTGCAAAGCAGATTAGCAAATAAGAGTGTCCAAGCGTGACTGGCAAGTGTGACTGGGTCAGACAAGAGCCCCTGCCCAGAAAGGGCCCAGGTGGGTGGTGTTGTGGCATCAGAAACACAAGGAATGAATATACCGGGACCTGGGGGGCAGTGGTGTGGTGGGTGCAGAGGAGCTGTCACAGGAAGGGGATCCCGTCCACAGAGCGGCAGCCACAGGGGTCTGGCGTAACCCCTGGTGCGAGGTGACTGAGGAGGACCTAACTGCCCCACCCAAGCAGCCTGAGACTAGGCTGCATTTGCAGTGGCCAAGGGCGCTGGGGAGCAGGAGGAAGGCAGAAGACCAGTTTGGATCGAGGTGTCAGTGGTGAGGAATTCCAGGAGGCTGGGCCTCCATGGGCCCCTGGGGGTTGGGCGCTCACGCAGCTTCCCTCTGGTGTTGGGCCTGCTGCTGAGGGGCCGCAGACAGTTCCCAACGCACAGAATCACAAGGGTCAAGCAACCAACAAAAAATGTCTGGACAGCTAAAAAGGAAGGAACGGGGCCCATACTCAAGAGAGAAAGGATTCCATAGAAACTGACTCAGAAGTCATCGAGAGCACAGGCCAAAGACTAAACTTCTACACTCTCCTTACACCCGTGATGGGAGGAAATCTGTTTTTATCTCTGGCCTTCTGAGTTCTCACTTTGAGCATTTTTTTTTCAAGATTTCTGAAATTTCCAGTAGCTCACTGAGTTTCTTCAAGCAGCAGTTCTGAATTATTTATTAGTTAGGTCACCAATCCATGCCATTGACCTAGGTGTAGGGAGAATTATATTTTTTGTTTTTGCAATGGCGTGTATTCTTGACTCCTCATGTCCCTTGCAGTTTTGAGTCACTGCATTTGCATATGAAGCAGTACACACGTCCTGAAGTCTTGCTAGTTGCCCTCAGAAGGGGTGCTCTGTTAGATGGTGGTTATTGCAATCTCTCTCTGTCTCTGTGTGGGTACACCTGCTCTGTTCTTCTTGCTGTCTCTCATGGAAGAATTGTTAAACTTTTATATTGTTTCCTGTTTCCACAATTCACCAGGCTGGCTAATGGGAATTTCTATTTTGCCTTCCAGAAGGTGGTGATATATCTCAAGTTTGTGCTTTCTCCCTTGTTCAGGAATCGGGACCTGTTTTTGGAGTGCACTTACGGTCTGCTGGGGCTCTCCCACAGCACACACGGAAATTCTCCCAGGGGCCAGAGGCGGGGTGTGTGTGTGTGTGTGTGTGTGTGTGTGTGTGTCTTCAGCACTGAGGCATTGGGGATGCTCCCGAAACTGGTGGGGAGGTCCTCGGATGTGGTACTTCCCACTGGGACTGCAGTGCAGTCACCTTGAACAGGATGCCTCATCCACCTCTTTCCCAGTCTCCTCCTCCCCTGGGCCATGGAGGTACCGCCTCAGAAGTCTGGGGGGCGCTGGAGAGAAACAGTTTTCTCCAGCTGTGTTCTGCACAACTGAGGTAGCTGGGGCGCTCACTGCCTCCTCTCTACCCAGATAGATCAGCAGTGTGTACTGTTTTACTTATTTACTTATTTATTCATTCAGTCATGTAGTTATTTAAATTTCGTGAGAGGAGGCAAGTTCTGGGAAATTTCTTCCACCACTGTTTTGGCTGCAGCAGACTGGTACATTTTTTCCTTATTGGCATGCTGGAATCCCGCCCAGGGAAGGTGGACTTTTGTAAATTCTCTCCTCCTTTCCATGTGCACAGCTCAGCACTGTCCAGGAATTTCTTCTCCCGCTGCAGGGAGGGGTTCCTGGCAGATTTCACCCTGAGACAGAGGTCTGTGTCCCTATTGCCAAATTCACACGCCTGTGAGACTCCTCCTGGGTCCCTCAGCTTTATCCACAGAGCCCACTCAGGCCCGCTTAGAGCGGTGTGACATTCTGACTGAGGACGAGGGTGTTAGGACCCAGGGGAAAGGAGAGGAGATGGTAAATTTAGTCTGGGAGGTGTAATGAGTTGGTGAACTTTGAGTTAAGGAGATTGCCCTCCAGCATGTGGAGAGGCCTTGTCAAGGCCATGGGAGGTCTGAAAGGAACAGGAAGTGTGACTCCCGCCCGAAGCCCCTGGAAGAGGGGGGTCTCCAGCAGCGGCCTTCATCCTGCATGGGCACCATTGGCATTGGCATTGGCATTGGTTCTCCAGCATGCTGACCTACATGGCAGCTCTTGCACTTGACATCCTCCACAATCACAGGAGCAAATACTTCACAATAAGTCTGTCTGGCTGTCTACCCAGGTATGCTCTGTCTATCCTCATTATCGAGGTGTTTCTCTGAAGAGCCCTGAGTACAACAGGAGGGAAAGGAAGGCTAAATGGAAGGTGATATTTGTGCCCAAGTTTGCAGGCCCACAGGCTGTTGGCCAGTGAGAACCGGGATACCACTGCTCCCCCTGATGCCCTAGTTCTGCTGTGTCCGCTGTGCCCTGTCCCCACCGCTCGGCCTCACAGTGGGACCCACATCCAATATTTACACACACACAGAGCTCTGGATCCCTACAACGTCTGTTCGATTTGTGCTGTGGACCTTTCAAACTCACCGCTGGTTTGCAAACCTCTGATTTGATGTCAAGCAGTTTCTCTCTTGATCTCGTCCCTCAGGTCCTTCACAGTCCCTCCGCTTCTTCTGGGCCTTTCGGGCATTCACCTTCACACCCAGAGAGCTGGTTGATTTAACTTTCTCGCTACTACAGGTATGATTAAGAATAGTGTTTCCATGACCTGGCCTTGAACTTTACACCATATAAGTCCATTAGGACTAATGTTGAAGTTGCAGCATCTGTGAATAAAAAAATTCTGATAACATTTGGATATGAAACAAAAGGACCCTTGGCACCCCTCCCCCATGTCTGTGACAGCAGGAGAATCCCCCTGCTGGCTGGGCCTGCACAGCAGGGACTGACCCTGCCCAGCCCCTCCCCTCACCAGGGGAAGGGCAGTGCCCCTCCCTTGTGTGAGGAGGACCAGGAGGCCTCTGCCTGGCTGGAAACCACACATCTCCAGATGCGTCCTCTCTGTGCCCACCAGGCCCTCACCCTGCCTCAGTTGGGGCCAACAACACAAGGCCGTGCCAGGCTGGCTGGGGGGCAAAGGTCTGGATGCCAGAGGATTGTCACAGACAACCCAGCGCCCTGTGGGGAGAGGGCAGAGTGTGCAGGGTTCTGGTCCTGAGGAAGCGGGGTGACAGTGCTGGCCTGTTGAGGCGAGACCCCAGCGCTGGAGAAGGAGAGCTGACAGTCACAGGTGGAGGGACTTGGCACAGCCCTGGGAGGCACGGCCGACCTGCTGCTGGGCTGGGTCCCGGGGGTTTCGGAAAAGCACTGAGTGTACAGCATGGAGGAGAAGATGAGGAAATCCAAGGTAGGTGGTACAGGGTGGGGTTACAAGGCCCCAGGAACACATATGCCAGAGTGGGTACGGTATTGCAAAGCCAGAACGAGCATAAGCTGTCTGCCCACTGTGCTCCAGGGAGAGGAGGGCCGCTTGTTCATGGAACTTACAAGCAGTGCTGGTGACAATGACGTTCAAGGTAGGCCACCAGAGAATGTGTCACTTCAGCATATCGATCATTTTGAATTGTGGTTGCTTAGAATAGCTGGATGAAGAAGGACACTCTGACCCTCACTTGTTCCCCTAAAAGCAAGACACCCTGCCTGTACCAGGAGGTAGAGGGGCATCCTTAGCACAAGGCACAGTGAATTTAGAGCCACGAAGGCCATGTAGACAAACCTGATCTCTTCATTATGAATTTATTCTTCCAAGCTCAAACTTGATGTGGTCAATTCTTTACAAATTATTGTTTCTTTGTCAAAGGTTATAAAAACTGCCTAGTTTGGTTCCTTCAGAGAGTCTCATATTTCTTTGACCTCTATTTTTTACCAAATTAAAGTTTGCTTTTCCATTTAATCCAACTGATGTTAATTCAATTTTTAGGCCAGCCAGAAGACCCTAGGAGGGTAGAGGAAAAATTCTTCCCTGACAGTGGGAAGGACCCGGCATTTTGGAGAAGCTCAGGAATGGCCATTCTTGATGGCCGGCTTGGCGGGTAGAGGTGGCATTCCTGAGACAGGCGCTCAGCTGTCACAGGCAGGCACAGTTTATTATTGAAAAAACCCAAAGTTTGGAATGCCGGCCAAGGGCCTGGGCCCCAGAAAACTATACATATCCTTGGCTCATAGAATGCAGCAATCCCAGAGGCAAATGGGTGAAAGCCAATCCAGAGAGTAATGGATTCATATAATAAAAAGAAAAATAAAACACAACCATAAATAGGAAGCTAAAAGCAGCCTCTCAAGAAAGAAGCTGGATCCGTTGTCCAGTTTCCAGAACTGAGATACTTCTGAGACCTGGAACCCATTCCTAGAAGGAGTGGGTGGGACCCAATCATCAGGGACCCTTCAAGTTGACATCAAAGGCCATGTGGCTATTGACCTGGTGAGTGTGTGCACCGGGGAGCAGAAAATACCCAGACATTGACATCGGGCCTAGTGTGTGAGCTGAGGTCATCCCCAGGGACCAGAAGTATCCTCACTGGCCCTGTTAGTACAGTGATGCATGGGGTTCAGTTTCAGGGAATAAATAGACAGGTGTCCCCCAGGTCCTGCACGCACAGGAGTCATTTGGTTCAGCAATTCCCACAGTGTTCACTTCACATTGTCTGGATTTGTAACAGGAATAGAAAATCCTTTTGTGAGTGAATTACTTGTGGCATGAGGGCTACACAGTAGGGAAATTCAAAGATCACCTCCTTAGATTTTCTCCTCTTAGCTCCAAATAGATCATTAAAGAAGTATCTTATCCTCAATGAAATAACAGAGAAGAGTACCAACCTTAAAAACCTCTAAGGAAGCAGGGGTGTGTCCCGTCCTAGCTCCATTTAATTGCCAGCCTGATGTGAAGACTGTGTATAGGTGGGCATCCACGAAATGTCTCAGGCTTTGCAGACCAGACATCCGTTGCAATGACTCAGCTCTGATGTGGAGGCATGAGAGCGGTGATAGCCAGTACTCGAATGGATGGATGTGGCTGTGTTTTGCCCTTGGGCCATAAGACCCAAGAGAATGACGACGCTGAGGTATCTGTGGTAGGACAAGGTGCTATGGGGACTTCATGGCATCCCTACTGGAGACTCACAGCACAGTCCCCCAGTGCACAGAGGCAAGGCCATGTCACTTGCAGCAGGGAAATGCACACCATGAAAAGAGGCTCCTGGTAAAGCACTGGGGTCTGGTAGGGATGAGACCTCTGGCTATGAACCAAGAATAGTTCATCATTAGCATCATGTCATCAGATAGGCCCAATCTTGACAAGATTGAAGTGATTCTTTGGGCTTTGAAATGATCAGAGTCACAGGGACATATAAGATGCAGAGACAGGTGTTCCTGATCTTGACACCAGAAATGTAGCCCCAGCGCTGCCCTCAGGTTACACCTGTGACTTCCTGCAGTGCCTCAAGGGCCCCCTGGGACCAGGAATTCAGTCTGCAGAGCGCAGGGGAGCAGTGGCCTGTTGCTGCAGGACTCAGGCCCTCTGACAGTCACTCCACCCAGAGGACACAGGGCACCAAACTGTTCTGGGTCTTCAGTGGACAGTGGACAGGTTGGACAGGTCACCCATATCTATGACACCCTATATACACCTAATATTGGGTCAGCAAAGTATTGATAGTGCAGTGGCCATATCTAGTTCCACATGCGTTTGCAAGTTGTCTTGGCTGCTATGGTACCATAAATGTGGAGGTGTGTGGTGCACGCAGAGACAGATAGGACACTCCCTGCGATGATCATAAATAACATTTACTATCTGTCCTTTCTCTAGAAATAGTTTGCAGCCTCCTGCCTGAATCTATGACCATTATATGCTGCTGCCTCCTCAGCAGGTGGAGGTGTGGGTTTGGGACCAAAGAGGAGGGAGAGAGGGCCCTTCTCCACCAGCCTTCCCAGGTCATACTTTCCTAACCCTGGGTGAGCTGGGTGTGGAGCAGTCAGTCCCTGGGGAGGGAGGTGCAGCAAGGAGTGTCTGGGGCTGCAGGTTCAGGGAGCTGCCGCAGGGGGCGCTGGTTAGTTCAAGGATGGGGAGCCCTGGGGATGATGCAAAGCCCTGGTTTTGTGCGCTAAAGTCTTGAGAGCAGGGTGGGGGCCTGTGGTCGTTTGTTGGTGCCTGTGCGTGGAGACCCTGCGGGAGCACCCCCTGTTCTGACCACACCTGGGGTGCCAGGGGGACCTCTTCCTACTTCTGCAGATGTAGGCTGGTGGGGGTGGGGAGCAGAATTGTTAGGGAGAGAGGCGGTTTTTGGAGTGTGTGGGGTGGGGGCTGGTTTTGTGGGGTGTCCACAGGGCTTGAAGGGTTAGCCAAGGAGGCATCTGTCTTTCCTCTCTCCTAGGCTGTGCGGGTGGATAGAGGAGAAAGTGGGTTGAAAGTGTGCGTGTGTGTGAGTGTGACAGATGTGTGTGTTAGTGTGGGAGACGGAGACAGTGTGTGAGGGGCTGGTGCTGGGGCTCGCGGGCCGCCAGCGCACCTGTGAGCTGTGCTGGCAATGGTCAAACCTGAGTGGGTGGAGCTGCCGGCCGGCGCAAGCCTGGTCCGGCCTGGTGATTCCAATCAGGCGCACCCAGACCAACCCTGTCCCTCCCCTCTCTCCCACCCCTTCCCCGGGCAGTACTTCTTCACCGCGGTCGGCTCCTGTTCACCTGTCTGGCTGTATGGAAACGACCGGCACTCCGGTGAGAGGCGGCGGGAGGGGGACGGAATCTCTCGGACTCCGTCCCAGGCGCTCTGCGGCCCTGCCTCTCCGCAAAGCAGCGGGGCCGTCCGTGCGCCCCTGTGCCCCGCTGTGCACCGCCGGGTCCTCGTTCCGGCTCGCCCTCCTGGTCCTGGTCCTGGGCCTGGGCCTGCTGCCGACCTGTGCCGGGGCAGCGGACTGCGTTTGGAATCTGAAGAGTGAGTTTGGGATGTAAAGTAAGGGGTGGTTGAGGGCGGGGGCCCGGGGCAGGGAGGGCGGGAAAAGTGGGGTGGGGGTGGGCGTTAAATTCGCACAGGGATGAAGTTCCCAGGGCAGTTCCACAACGTTTGGCTAGTGGCAACGCCGCCCTCTTGTCAGTCCCCCGCGTGGTCTCATTTCGAGTCACGATGTCGGGCAGGTAGTTGCCTTCGGGCAAGAAGAGCGGCGGGAAGGAGGTGACGGAGGGCGGTGAGGTGGGGCGCGTCCTCACGGGGAGAAGGGAGGAGGGAAGGGGGCGCAGCCAGAAAGGCCGCCGGAGGAAACACGGGTCATCCCCGGGCCGCTGTCCTGCCCCGGTTCCGGTTCCGCCGTCCTCCTGGGGACCCTTGAAGAACGTGCCCCTGACTGTGGCGTTTCCTCTGGGTCGCAACCCACAGACCGCGGCCCGCCGAGACACTGTGTGTGCTCTCAGGCCTTTCCCGGGCAAAACCCCTCCTTCCTCCCCGCTGCCACCCTGCCTCGAACTTCCCCGGGGGCTCTGGGGGCAGGTGCGCACACCTGCAGCCCCGCCAGGCTCCCCCTTCGCTGGCCACCTCCCCTTGACGAGCGTCTGCCCCCCTCCCCCCGCAGCCCCCTGCCTGCAGCCCGGGCTCAGTCCCCACCACTGTCCCTGGGGAGTGCGGCCCCTCCCCAGCTCGTCTAGTTCCCTTATTTAGGGGTTGAGGTCGGTACCCATCTCTTTCATTGTGTCCAGGACAAAATACTGTTTTAGCACTCTACTTAGAGAAAGGGGAAGACAGTTTGAGGATATTGTACTTAAGTTTCCCTGCTATGGCAGCCTTTGGTCCACAAATAGTTCCCAAACTACAAGGACTTTTCATTCCTGCTGCAAACCTGGGAAACGTGAAATGACCACTGTGTGGGTCTGTGGACCAGCAACCCCTCCGTGGGCAGGACCCGGGGCAGGTGTCTGTTTATTCCCCCACCCCGGTGCTTCACTGTAGACCGGGTAAATTATGCCCACCCACGAGGAGAGCAAACGCTAGGTGGGAGTAGCTCCTCCCAGTGCACACCCGCCCTGGTGCCCGCCTATGGGTGTTGGGGAAGGAGTTCAAATTTGCTTCTGTGCAGGGAGGGCCCCTCTCATTGCAGCCCCGCCTCTCTGTCTAGTAATGAGTTCAGGGTCTGAGAAGTGGCTCAGCTCTGGGAACTGGCAGAAGGATTCGTTCTTTGGTTGGGAGGCCATTTCAGCCTCCTCCTCATCCATCCTTATGTCTGGTCTCTGTCGTAATTATTCAAACCCATCTGTAAGTATCTAGGATGACTCACCATTTGTTTTCCATCTCAGATCCCTCTGTTCTATGAGCCTTAGCCATTGCTCTGTGGTTGAGTCACGTCTCGATTTCAGATCTTCCTAATCCTTTTTTGAACATCTTACCTCCTTTGCTCCTGACCCAGAGCACCTGTACCTGTGATTTGTTATCTCCACATTTGCCACCCCCATGACTGCTGGCAGCCATTTTGGGGGACACTCACTCCTACCACCATCCTGACCTTCAGCAAAAGTCATCTCAGGTTTTGGAAAATTCTGGTGTCTTCTCATCCATGCTCTCCTCTTAGGCTTGATAAACAAGAATTTGCTTCAGGCTTCCCCATGGAGCAAGGTTGATTGGACTCTTTTCTGCCTTTTCACATTACACCCGCCTGGCACATTCTCTCCCCTGAGCCAGCTGGCCCCTCCTGTACTACCTGCCTCAGAAGTTCTGGCCATTCTGCTCCATGCACGGTAGCCACGCCTTTTTCGAAGCTCTCAAGACCCATCCCAGCAGCAGGTTGGCGCCATCGCCCAGGGCTGTGCTAAATCAGGACCCCTAGTGGTGCACTCTCCCTTCTCCTCCATTGGGATCTGGCCGTGTCCCCCACCCCACTGTCACCCAGCTTTGTCAGGAGCAGCCCTGCTATGTGCTGCCTATGTCCCCATAGGGCACTGGGCTAGTTCCTGACAATCCTCTTGCTTCTAGATATTTCTTCCATAGGCACCTGGCACATCCCTGGGTTGGTTGTGGGCTGAGTGATGATGGATACTGGCCTGGCGGGCAGAGGGGACATGTCTGGAGGCGTGTGGTTTCTGGTGTGGTTTCTGCCAGGCAGAGGCCTCCTGGTTTCCCTCAAGCAAGGGAGGGGAGCTCACCCTCACCTGGTGCAGAGAGGTGCCTGACAGGGTCAGTGCTCGGTCTGCCAGCCCAGGTGTCAGGGGGAGTCACTTGTTGTCACTGAGATGGGGAAATGCTTATGGTCACTTTTCTTTCAAACCCATCTTTCGCCTGCATCTTCTCCTTCACAGATGCCTTCTCTCTTGGCTACACATTCAATTTCTCTGCCAGTGGACTGCCACTGTGTGCGGTTGAAGCTATGGTCAATGGGAGCTGTATTCCTTATACCTGTAACGGTCTGAAGGCCAAACTCAATGGTTCCCTGGAGATGATGTGGAATGTCAGAGAGACCCTGAATCAACAGTGTGAACGTTGTGTGGATGTGGTGGAAGAGCTCCAAAGCTCACTGCTGTACAATGAACCAGACTTTGGTAAGTTTGCCTGATGCAGGGCAGAAGCACAGCAGTGTTGTAGGGGTAGGGAACAATCGTGTTTGTGTGAATATTGGGAGTTTACCCTGCCCAAGAGGCCCAGAGCCAGGGCCAGACACAGAGAAGAGACCAGGACCAGGAGTTAGGAGGGGAGCAGAGGACTGGGTACCAGGTGGGGACAGAGGAACTGTCAAGACCCGAGGCTGACCTGTTCACCATGGGGGTGGGGATAGTTCTTTCCTCTGTGCAGGGCGTCATGAGGTGTCAGCAGGAATCCGATGGAAGCTGGAGTCCATTGTTGCACCTTTACTACAAGAAACAGAGATGTCTCCGCATTGGCCCCCTCATAGGCAAAAAGGTCAAACCTTGGAAATCCCGTAATCGTAATTGCAGATACTTAAAGAACTTGGTGGACAGTCCTATGAACAATGTTGTTCGAATCTCAAGTGAAGTTTGTGCGATGTGGCCGAATCAGAGCACAGTTCCGGACCCAAAAGGTAACTGAGCAGAGGGGAAAGGTTATGGTCTCTCGAAATGACATTGACACTGTGTGTGTGCTTCTGTGTGTTGTGTGTGGTTTGAGAAAGTGATCTGACCACAGATCACTAGTGGTTTTTTTTTTGTTTTTTTTTACATAACAGCCACAGGTGTGTCCCACGTCCCCCCTTTCCCCTCTGTCCTCCTTGAGCCCCTCCCCACCCCGCCCCGCACAGAGCCCCGGACACTCCCTGTGGGTTTCCCGGGGACCCGGCCAGGCGGGCCTCGTTCTCTGTTCGTCCTGTTCCCGGCGCTGAGCCCTCTTAGCACCCCTCATCCTCTTGGTCTCACCTGGTCGGTTTCTGGAAATCCTTCAATACCACCTCTGAAGGGGTTTAGCAGTTTCAGTCCTGACTCAGAGTCTCTGTTGGGAGATCGTGATTGGGCCCAGGGTGGGTGGTGTGGGGACAGCAGGCGCACAGGGCAGGGCAGTGCTCACATTCAGGTGAGGGCAGCCTGGTGGCTGCATGGGATGTGTCCAGGGGATGGGGACTGTCCAGGGGACTAAGAGGAGGGGGCCTGGGTCTAGTCCCAGGAAGAGGGTGAAAAGGGTTGCAGACACAACTCAGAAGGCTGGAGTTCAGGACTGCATTCCCACAGAAAAGAGCTTCAGGTCAGCAGATGAGGCCAGGGAACAGAAGGGGCTCTGTTTTTGGGTTAGAGGGGGCCACCTCTCTTGGACCCCTGGGACTCCTGGCTGAGCCCTGGTGTGATCAGCTGGCAGCCAGTCTCCTCCAGTCTCCAGATCCTGAGCCCATGCCCTGCCCTGAGCAGAGGTGACTGGGCAGGTGGGTGGGGCTGAGCTGCTGGTGGAGTGGTTTGGTGACTGCTGACTGCCGAAGGAATGCACCGGGCAGGGCAGGGACAGTCACTCTCAGAGTGGTGTACTGGGACCAGGGCCAGGCGTGCATTGGGAAGAAGGATGTTTGTCTGCAACCCTCCCCAGTGCTAGACGGTCAGGATGCAGCCCCTCTCTGCACAGGGCTCCTCATCGGTGTCCTAGAATCAGTTCAGTAGAAGGGACAGAGCAGTTCATTGCCCCCTGAGTCCTCACCCCACCTGTCCTTAGCAGGACTGGGGCCTGACTGTCACGTGGTAAAGAAGGGAGGACATGGGTGCCCACTGCAGGGCCCAGTGAGCAGAGATGTGTGAATCTCAGGGAGCGGGGGGCTCTGAGATGGGATGGGTTGGGGTCGGTCTCCCCAGGGAAACTGACCCGAGATTTCCTCAGCCATTAGGAAAAACACGTGTTTGTTTTCTGAAGCAGAAGATGCTGCTCAAAAGGTCCCGTGAGTGTGGTCCAGGGCAGCTCGTGTCCTTGTGGTCGGCTGCCTTTCCGTCATCTCCAGCGGCTCAGCTGTTGACCCCCAGGAGCTGCACTTCTTCCAGCGAGTGGCAAGACCTCCCGAAGGTCACAGCAATAAAGCAGATGCAATATTCATGCCTTGTGCTCCATGTGGGATATGTCGACTCTGGATTGTTCCTCATTGGGAGCTGGGTGTCCGTGCCTTCGGGGTGGGGTCACTCAGGCCTCCCAGGCGGGCCCTCCAGGGCCTCATGGGTCTAGGCTGGGCTTCCCTCCTCAGAGGCTTTGACCAGAGACTCTAAGCAATTCCTTCCCCTCAACCCAGAGACCAGGCCTGGGCTGGGAGAGTTTAGCCCCACTTCCTTTCCTTCCATCCCCACACACATTTGGGTGGGGGCGGGGGTGTTCCTGGAAGCATCTCCTGCAGCCTCTCCCAGGAGCTGCTCCCCAGGGCTCAGTTCTGAGTCCAGCTCCAAACCCACTGAAGAGATCCTGGGGCTGGAAAAGCCAGCACGGTTGCCATTCCCTTCCCCAGAACCCTCTAGAAACCCGAGCGCACACGTGAGTGACAGAAGCAGCTCCAGGCTTGTTTCTGACAGCATTTCCCCCTGTCTGCTCATGCACCGAGGGCCGTGCTCCATCAGGGAAGGCAGCGGGGCAGAAGCTCTGGGTCCTCCTTCTGTGGTGCTGCCTCACACCCCTTCATGGGCCCTGGCTGTGGCTCATGGGGCCTGGAGGTTTCTGGTTCTTCCTGGGTCTGGGTGTCCTGCTGGTGGCTCAGATGAAAGCTGCTCTGTGCCTTTTAATTGGTAAATTCAATTGTTTGCATTTAACATTTGATATGGGAGGACTGACTGTCATGTTCTCAATAGTTTTCTGGTTGTTTTTTCATTTCCATTGTTTCTTTCCCTCTGTGTCTGCTGACCTTTGTAAATCGGGGGCTTTTCTGTGCTGGGATGCTGTGCTTCCCCTGCTTGTCTGCAGGGTTACTGCTCTAGGTCATTGCTCTGTGGTCGCCGTTAAGTTTACAGAAGACATTTCAGAGATGAAACTCCATTTTAAGCTGATGGCAAGTTAACTTTGTCTACAGATCTTCTCACTTTTACTTTCTTGTTTTCCTTTTTTGATGTCTTCACTTATCTTATTTTAAATTGTGTATCTGTTAACATATTATAGCAGCTATAATTATTTTAATAGTGTTTTCCTTCATGTTTTCCTCTAAAGTTAAGTGGTTAACACCCCATCTGATCACAGATGCAGAGTTGTCTAAGTCTCACTGTGCATGCACTTCCCTGCTGTCCTGCGCACTTTGTGTGTTTGCATGTTGGTCTGCAGTGTCTTTTTCTTTCAGCTGGAAGAGCTCCTTCCAGCATTGCTGACAATGCAGGTCCAGTGATGAACTCCTTCAGCTTTTGTTTGTCTGGGAAAGTCCTTATTTCTCCTCTGTATCTGAAGGATAACTTTGTCAGATTGAGATTTCCTGGTTGACACCTTCTTTCTTTCAAAGCTTAGAAGAAGCCATTGTATTGTGCCCTGGCCTTTAGGGTTTCTGCTGAGAAAACTGCTGATAGCCTAAGGGGGCTCCTTTCTAGGTAATAATTTTTTAACTACTGCTTTTAGAATTCTCTTTTTATTCATGAATTTTGACAGCTTTAGTTTAACTTGTTGGAGAAGGCTCGCCCCCCCCCCGCAAACCCCTACACACACACACACACACACACACACACTGAGATGACAGGATGATGTACTAGCCTCATGTATTTGAAAGTCCTATTCTGTCCCTGGGTCACATACGTTTTCTCCACCTTGTTTCTTTGTTCCCTTCTGAGTTATTCTGCGTTCCCTGTCCCCTGTCTCACTTACTCTCTCCCATCTGCTCTGCTCTCATGCAGGTGTGCTCTGCTGCACTTTTCATCCATTCATCCAGTTCTGCAGGTGCAGAATCTCTGTTTTGTTCTTTATCATAACCTCTATCTCTTTGGTAAAAGCTTCACTTTAAGCATTTTTTTTCTAAGATTTCTGAAATTTCTAGTAGCTCACTGAGTTTCTTCATAGAGCAGTTTTGAATTATTCATTTGCTAGATCACAGATTTCCATGCTGTTGAGCTAGGTATGGGAGAAATATTTTCTTTTTGCAACAGCGTGTATCCTTGCTTTGTCACATGGACCTTGCAGTTTTGAGTTGCTGCTTTTCATGTGAAGCATTACCCACCCCCTAAAGTCCTGCTAGTTGCCCTGAGATGGGGTGCTCTGTTGGGAAGGTGGGGTTATTATTGGAGTGTGTTTCTGTCTCTGTGTGGGAACACCAGCTCTGCTCTCCTTGCTCTCTCTCATGGCAGAATTATTAAACTTTAATGCTTCTTCCTGTTTTCACAATTCACCTGGCTGGCCAATGCAAACTTCTCCTTAGATTTCTCAAATCTGTGGTGTCGTCCTTGTTCATGGATCAGGGCATTGTAACCCCGTGCCCTTCCTGTGTGTTCTGCTCTCTCACACCACGCACACAAACTTACACACGGAGCCAGCCGCAGAGTGGAGGGAGGTGTGGCTTTCAAATTTGCGATTGGAGGGTGCTCCTGGACTTGGCAGGGAGACCCTCGGTGAGGCAGTCTCTGGGCCTGGGGAAGTGCAGTCAGCAGGAAGGACACTTTCTATCTTCTCCACTCTCCCCTTCCGTTCTGAACCCTGGGTGTCCCTGGAGAGAAAGGGGTTTTCTGAAGCCGCAACTCTCACCACTGAGGTAGCCGGGGTACTTGCTCCCCCTCCCTCTCCAGATACATCAGCAGTCCAGCAGTGTGTGCAATGAGTGTGTGATGTGTGCACTTTTTGTGGTGGGGGGAGGTACACACTGGGAGTCTCTCCCAGTGTCTCGTGTCTTCTTTGCCTGCGACAAAAGTGGCTCATTGGTTCCTCACTGGCGTGCTGGAATCCCTCTCAGGGAAGGAGGCCTTCTGCAAATTCTCTCCTCCGTGGGTGAGTGCGCAGCTCAGCACTGTCCAGGGTTTTCTTCTCCCGCTGCAGGGAGGGGCCCTGGGAGGTTCTCACCCTGAGCAGAGGTCTGTGTCCCTATCATCAGAGTCACATGTCAGTGAGACCCCTCCTGGGTCCCTCAGCACATGGTGCTAGAGCCACAGCACCCACCCAGGTGCTGGTGTTCACAGGTGGGTGTGAGATTCACTGTTAGTCCCTCACGGTATTTTTCTACACTGTTTATCTCTATCTCTATGTCCATGTCCATGTCTATCTCTGCATCTGTCTCTGTCTTTTTCTTTGTCTATATCTCTGCATCCATCTGTCCCTATCACCACCTCTCTTGGTATTCTGGCTCTGTATCTCTTACTGATGCTGGTTCTCACAACGCTGGCCAATACTGAATTACTCAGCTGAGCTCATTTCCCGGCAGAGGCGGTCAGGCCATGAGGCAGGCGGTGGCTGGGAACTCACCGATCCTGTCCTCACTCCAGCTATGGGTCCCTTGCTTCCCTCTCAGGTCTGCCCACAGTACCTGTTACTCCACAGCACCCTGCCTAGGGGGACAAGTGAGAGTGAGCCAGTTAGGATAGTACAGGCTAAACAGGAGCTGAGCGTGAGTGATGGACTTGGCCTGGATTGACCCGTGCCTGGGACTGCGGTTGGTGGTACTGAAAGGGAATCACAAGCGTGAAAGCCTTTGTCCAGACCCTGATCTGAGTCTCCTGCTCGGCCCCTGTTGCCCCCGGTGATCCTGCGATGCAGACAGGAGTGACCCCTGCACTTCGTGATGGGCCCCGGGGGCGGAAAGCAGAGGCGGCTGGACACTGTCCTGAATGATCTCATCGTCTAATGGGTGGCACAATGGTTACAATATAACCGGTCTGTCCTGCTGGGACAGAAGGAGAGGTGACACATGAAGGTGGCAGTGGTGAAGTCCTCTCAGGAGCTGACATTTGAGGTTGTACTGATGGATTTCCAGAGACAGACCCAGTGAGACTGAAAAGAAGATGGTTCTGGGGAAGGGAACAGTAAGAGGAAAGCATCTCTTCCCTGAGGGTGGTGTCTGAGAAGTCGAGACTCCTTGGTTTCTGTGTTCATGGAGCTGGACAGCTGGCAGCAGCTTTTCGGAAATTAGGCAGGCCCATGGAGGGGCTCTGGTTGGTGGCTGATGAACTGAGGGGTTCGAAGTAGGTCACCCCTAAAGCAGACCCCTTCCATTGGATTTGGCAGGCCAAACACTCAACATGGTGAAAAAGGAAACAAAATCACAAATTATCTGGAAACAATCAGGCTGGCAAGCTAAGGGGCAGCAAGACGCCCACGGCGAGGGGGCCGAAGGTCTGCGCCGTGAGGACATGACGTCAGGAGGTGGGCAGGGACGGGAAGGGTGGCTGCTGTCCTCCCATGAAGAACTCACCACGGATGGATACTTTCACACACACACAAATACACACACACACTGACACACCCACCTCACACCATAGGTTACTCCATCTCATTTCCGGAGATCTGCTGCTTTTCTCTGTTACGTGTCACCCCAGCATTCTCTCCCGGGGCACGGGTACTTGCTCCAGCCGGCCATTATGGTCCCCGTTTGTGAGACCATAAAGTTTCTTTGTGAGGGACTCAGTCACAGCTCTGCCATTGTCCCGTGTCACTTTTAACTCTCTTTGGTGTCTGTGCATTGACACCAAACTTCCACCATCCTGTGGGACAGGGATGTCAAACCTACTGCCTGAGGGCCGCATGCAGCCCAACACAAATCCTAAATTCACTTAAAACATGGATTTTTCTGTTTTTGTTAATGTTTGTTTATTTAATGTGTGGCCCAACACAACTCTTCTCTTTCCAGTGTGACCCAGAGATGACAAAGGTTTGGACTCCCCTGCCTGGTAGATCCACTGGGTTCCTGCCGACACAGCAGGGGCAAGAGGTCAGCCTCCGGTTGACAGATCCGTACCCCCGCCCGGCCCCCAGCCCTGTGCTCCCCTGCTCTCTCCTGCTCCTGCTGTGCCCTCCGTGTCCTACCCTGGCTGCTGGGCCTGCTGGGTGGGACCAATGTCCAGTAATCACATAAACACATGCCTCCCTGCCCTGAGACAACTGTTCTACTTCTGCCCTGAGTCTTTCAAATTCACAAGATTGTGAAAATCTCTTGTTGAAGATCTAGCAGTTTCTTTCTTTTGAGCACTTCCACTGGGTCTCTCAGAGTTCCTGCCTGACTCTGTCAGGACTTTGGGACCTTCACCGTCATTGCAGAGGACTGAAGAGTTTGACTTTCTCACTAACACAGTCAGAAATAAAAAGAATGCTTTTCCATTGACCTGACCTTGACCCTCACACCATGGTTGCCCTGGACTGGGCTCAGGAGTGAAGATGAAGTTGCAGCAAGAGAGGGAACGTCTGCAAAGGAAAATGCGGGTGACAGCTGGAGTTGGGAGGGGGGACCTAAGACACAGATGACGTCCCATCTCTGTGACGGCAGGAGCCTCCCTCTGAGGGCTGGGCTGCCAGACCAGGACCTGAGCCTGCCGCGTCCTCCCGTCACCAGCGAAGGCTAGAGCTGGAGGAGGACCAGGGGGCCTCTGCCTGCAGAAATCCACACGAGAAGCCACACCCCCCCCCTCACATGTCCCCTCTGTCCCCCGGCCAGTACCCAGCATCAGTCAGCCCATAACCAGGGCAGGGACGTGCCTGACGTGCTAGGGGAGGACAGGGTCTGGATGCCAGAGGATTGTCACAGACAGCACAGCGCCCTGCGGGGAGAGGGCAGAGTGTGTAGGGTTCCAGTCCTGAGGAAGCAGGGTGACAGTGCTGGGCTGTTGAGGCGAGACCCCAGCACTGGAGAAGGAGAGCTGACAGTCACGGGTGGAGGGACTTGGCACAGCCCTGGGGGATATGGCCGACCTGCTGCTGGGCTGGGTCCCGGGGGTTTCGGAAAAGCACTGAGTGTACAGCACGGAGGAGAAGATGAGGAAATCCAAGGTAGGTGGTACAGGGTGGGGTTACAAGGCCCCAGGAACACACATGCCAGAGTGGGTACGGTATTGCAAAGCCAGAACGAGCGTGAGCTGTCTGCCCACTGTGCTCCAGGGAGAGGAGGGCCGGTTGTGCATGGAACTTACAAGGAGTGCTGGCAATGATGACGTTCAAGGTAAGCCACCCGAGAATGTGTCACTTCAGCATATTGGTCATTTTGAATTAAGGTTGCTTAAGAACAGCTGGGCAAGAAGGACGCTCTGACCCTCCCTTGTCCCTCTAAAAGCAAGACACCCTGCCTGTACCAGGAGGTAGAGGGACATCCTTTGCACAAGACACAGGGAACTTAGAGCCATGAAGGCTATAAATGAAGCTTGTTACTTCATTACTCATTTACTACTCCAAGCCCAGAGTCTTGCCAGTCTTCACAAATTTATTGTGTCTTTGTCAAAAGGTTATAAAAACTGCAGCATACTTTGGTCACTTCAGAGAGTCTCACATTTCTCTGAGCTCCCCTATGTACCAAATTAAAGTGTGCTTTTCTCATTTAATCTGCCTCGTGTTAATTAAATGATTAGGCCAGTGAGAAGAACCTAGAAGGGGAGAAGAACAAATGTCTTCTCTCCTGGCCGTGAGGAGGGCATCCCCGTTGTGGAGAAGCTCAGTGAGGGCCGGGCTTGCCGGGTGCAGATTGTATTCCGCATATGGGCTCCTGGCAGTAACGGGGGTAAAACCCATCCTGAAATAATACGTTTGAGATGTAGGGGCTCCCCTGCCACAAGCAGGCGGAGTGCCATTATTACAATGACCAGAAACGCTGGAACGCCAACCAAGAGCCCGGACCGCAGAAAGCTGTCTATTTGGCACTTGGAACGCAGTGATGCTGGAGGCAAAGTGGATGGACAGCCCACCCAGGGAGTGTTTGAGTTAACTACTGGGTTGGCCAAAAAGTTCATTCCTTTTTTTTTTGCCACAAGATGGCTCTAAGAGTGCTTAGCTGTGTTTAATGTCCTCCAAAACAATTTTGTTAGATTGTATTGTGACAGCGTGTATTAAAAAAAAACCCGATCAATATTATTGAATTTTTGTGTAGCCATTTTAATATTGAAGATGGAAGAAGGCACTCAACATTTTTGGCATATTGAGCTTTATCATTTCGAGAAAGGTAAAGACGCAACTGAAATGGAAAAAAAGACTTGTGCCGTGTGTGGAGAAGGTGCTGGGGGCTGACCGAGTGGGAGGCAGGAGACGGCACAGGAAGAATCTGAGACTGCACTGCCCTTACCCACCAGGGTTTGCCACCCTGGTCTCCAGGAAACACCTTTGATCAGTTGGGTAGAATGAATAGCAAACCAAGGCAGGGAGGAGAAGGGAGACACGTCTCACCCACTGATCCAGCAGTCCTGAGCCTGGTCTGATACTATGGCCGGGTGTTCCAACCTCACGAGAAACACTATGTTAGCAGGGAAGGAGGGAAGTCCTTGAAATTCTATGAAGCGTTTCCACTACCTGGGAAAGGAAGCCTTGAAACTGTGCTGTCATCCCCAGGCCTGGAATGCAGGAGAGGGTCCCCAGTGCTGGAAGAAAAAGCCCATAAGGCAACTTTGGTTAATTGTCTTCTTCTGGTCACTATGTGTTTTACAAGGGAGTCCCTAGTGCTTACAGAAAGAGCCCATAAATAACTTTGGGTAACTGCCCAACTTTAAGTAACTGCCTCCTGGCACCTATCTGTTTTACAACAAGATGAACAAATGGGGTCTGGAGCAAGATAAGGATTCGGGCTAACAGACCCCCACACATACTTAAGTTTGGATAGTCACCTCCCCCAGGAAAGCTGGCACCACATTGACCCACGAATCAATGCATAACTTTTTGTCCACCAACTACGTAAGTCCTCCGAGCAAAGGACTCTGCTCTCTGGCCACTAGGGGCGCTCTTGGTGCTCTGTGCTCTCTGGCCATCAGGCCTCAGGCTGCCCAGAACTTTCCCCTCTGACCTTCAGGTACTCTTACTTTTGCCGCCCTGCTTTGCCCTGAAACTTTGTCTTTCACCCCCTACTCTACCCAGTCCCGTTCTCTTCCATGGGAACAGATCATTAATAAACCGATTGCATGCTAACAGATTTGCTGATGTGTAATTCTTTAGATGCTTTAGCAAGAAGGACCGGGTCTCTCCTGTCAACAAAGTTGCCAAAAGTGACAAGTTTCTTGTACTATTGACATTTTGGCCAAATAACTCTTTGCTGAGGAGCAGTCAGCCACCGCAAAGGAGCAGAGGGGCAAAGGGGCGGGCATCACCGCCGCGGATAGCCAGGCAGAAACCGCGGTGACTCACCCGTAGCCGAGCAGGCGCACTGCGAGCCCAGCCATTGTCAGTGGCCCGGAGCGTGGGGCGGTGTTACAGGGGCGTCTCCGCTCCTCTGCGGACCCGTGGGCGAGAAGGTAGGCTGGGAGCAGGTTGGGGTGGTCGGCGGGTGCTCTGGGGCCCTGCGGGGCCGCGGCGGGCAGCCGGAAGTCAGTGGGCGCGGCTCCGGGCAGGTCCCGAGTACTCGGGGATCCGATAAGGACCGAGCGACTTGGGGCTCGCGGCGCTGGGGCGCGTTCCCGGTGAGGCGCTGCGGCACGGCGTTCTGCGCTGCGGCCAAAATCGGGCACAGGCCGGCTGGGGACCCGGGCCGCGCCAGGGGCTGCCCGCATTGGCCTCCTCGGTATCGGATTCGTAGCCTAGCTAGGCAGCGTCTGCACTTTTAAGTTGGGCTGGTGGCGGAGAGGGTGCTTTGGGAGTCTGCAACTTCTCAGCCTGCAGGGGCCGGGTTGGGGCTGGCAGCGGGACCCAGGCGCCCAGCTGGCCGGCGCAGCTGCCGCAGAAAGGATGGGTGCTCCGGGGCCGGCCGCTCGGAGCGGCTGGAGGGGCTGAGTCGGTCTGCGGCGAGGTGGTGGTGGGGTGAACGCCGCGGGCTAGTCCTGGGGTGAACCATCCGGCCTTAAGCTGCGTCTCTTTTCTTTGCTCTCCTGCGCGGGTATGTGGAGAAGGTGTGTTGGGAGCTGGTACGGGTCAGGGGCCGGTGTTACGGGGTGAAGCTGTGCGGGGGCAGCCGGCTGGCCCGGCTCTCGTGGGGGTGTGGCGGTCGCCTGCCTCCGGGAGCGGGGGCCGAGCCACGCGCTCCGCGCGGTTGCACCGCGGTTTCCGAGGTGGGGCGGCTCAGGCGGGGTGTTTGTTAGGCCGGCGCGGGGCACGTTTGTCTGGTGTTACGGGGATATCTCTCCTTCCCTTCTCCTCGGCTGGTGGGGGGACAAGGTGGGTTCGGAGTTTGTTTGTGTAGGTGTTGGCGGGCTGGTGTTTGGGTTATCACCGCAGCGCTGGGCCTGGGCATCCATACAGCGCTGCTTGTGCGACCCTGGCGGTGCCCGGGCCTGGAGCGGCTCAGAGCTCAGGGGACGGTCCCTGGGTCGAGGCACCGTCGTTCTTTTCACCGCGGTCGGTCCACAGCGGAGGGGAGGGACGGATGGCCGGCTGACCCGCAGCCCAGGGCTCGCAGGCCCTGGCACCGCGGCTGCTGGCACCACAGCTCACTGTTCTCCTGGACACTCTTCCCAGGCATTCAGGACAGACATTTCCCGCCCCTGTGGAGCTGAGCTCCAACTGCTGCTCACCGCGGAGGGGATGGCAAGCTGCATTTTCTGTCTTGCGGTCTTCCTGGCTGTGCTGTCCTACGGTTCCGGCGCGCTAGGCGGTGAGTTCGCCCTTCCGTGGGGTGGTTGGGGAGAAAAGGGTCAAGGGAGTGAGGAGAAGGGTGGGGGCCTTAAGCTGGGGGAGGGGGACGGGGTGCTCAAGGCAGTTGCAGACTATTTCCTCTTGGTGGGGCCTGAGCCCTCTTCTCAGTTTCCTCCGCGGGCTCAGGGGCAGGCTGTTGCCATCCAGGCAAGAGGAACAATCACAAAAGGTGACTGGGGACAAAAAGGGAACACCAGCCGTCCCTAGGCTGCTCCCCTAACCTGGGGTCACGTGGTGCTCAGGGACCTGGGAGCCCCTGTCCCGTGACCCCAGGCGCCAGGACCAGGCATTTCCTCAGGGTCTCCATCCAGGAACGGCCTCCTGCCCCTGCTCTTCTCCCAGAACTGTCCCAGCAAACCCTCCCTCACGCCCAGTGCTCTCCACCCTTCAGCCTCCCAGCGCCCTTGAGCCAGCTGACCGCGGAGCCCGCAGCCCCGGGCACTCAGTTTAACCAGTTCCCCCCAGGGTTCCTGCTCCTCACCCCAGCTCACCCAGTGTTGTTACCCAGGTCTGGGGGGTCCCAGATCTGAAGTGCCTCCAGTACCTTCCCATGTATGAAGTGACGCTAACCCCTCCCTCCTCCAAGTGGCACTCTATCCCCCTTGCCTGGAGTCACACCCAGCAAAAGGTTGGGCTCCTGGCCCGCGGATGCTGGAGCAGGAGGGGCAGGGGGCACACTTTCCCCAAGTGTGATCCTGGGGCTGGTGGTCAGGTGGGGGGGGGGCCTCCCTCCCTCCCCTTTGGTCCCACACCCATATTCCCCCAGCTGAGGAGGCAGCTTTACATAAAGGCCTAGGTCAGGGAAGGAGGCTGCAAACTTTCTCTATAAAGGGTAAACGGTTAATTTTTGTCTGCACAGATCTCTTGGCATCTGTCTCTGTAGGCACTGGGCACCTCCACGGTTGTGGGGAAAAGCAGCCAAAAACATGAAACAATTAGGGGACCAGATGTGGCCAGTCCTATCAGATGTGGCCACTTCCCTAGTGTGCTGGCCCCAGGTTTAGAGCAGATAGGGAGTCCATGTATGGGTGAGCACTGCCCATATAAGGGAATCGTCTCCCAGGATGCCCTTGCTGTTTGTTCAAGAGCCACAACCATGCTCTATCCTTTTTGTTTGTTTGTTTTGGGTAGAGATTTTATTTCTTTCTTAGAGAGAAGGGCAGGAAGGGAGAAAGAGATGAGGAGAAACGATAAGAGGGGAACCTGACCCACAACCCAGGCGTGTGCTGTGACCAGGAGCTGACCCCGGGACCTTTCTGATCCCAGGCTGGCACTCATCCCGCTGAGCCACACCAGCCTGGGCCAGAACCCGCCCTATTCTGCCTGTGGTTTCTGGGAGGGGTGGCATGCAAGGATGTGGGTCCCACAGGCAGGGGCCTGTGCGCCCCTTCCCTGTGTGGACTGCTTCCTGGGTGAAAGGGGCGTGGGAGACAGTGTGTGAAGCCATAGGTGTGAGTGGAGGGTGGTGCTGGTACTTTATGGTGTCAAGATGGGGCCACCTGCTGCTGCATCGCATTGTTCCCTGTGACCCTGCTCCTTTCTGTGCCAGAGAAGTCACCTCTATCCTATGAGCACTCGGCCTGCCTTAGCCAGTGACGCTCATGCTGGGCAACTCTGGTGTTTCATGGACAGAACTCCTCTCTACCAGGCCCTCTTTAGAGGGTGTGGATTTCCCTGACCCAGAGCACCTGTACCCGTGATTTATTATCTTGACATTCACCCCGCCGCCCATGACTGCTGGCAGTCATTTTGGGGAACACTGACTCCTACCACCATCCTGACTTTCAGCAAAAGGCATCATTGAGCTTTCTGAGAATTCTGGCGCTCTTCTCATCCATGCTCTCCTCCGAGGCTCAGTAAACAAGAGTTGGCTTCAGGCTTCCCCATGGTGCGTGGTTGATTGGACACTTTTCTGCCTTTTCATATTGTACCTCCCCCTGCCATATTCACTTCTCTGAGCCAAGTGACCCTTCCTCCACTACCTGCTCAGAAGTTCTGGCCGTTCTGCTCCAGGCACGGTAGCCACACCTTCTGCCAATGTTGTAGGACCCATCCCAGCATCAGGTTGGCGCCATTGGCCAGGGCTGTGCTGAATCACGACCCACAATCCTGAACTCCTCCTCTCCCACGTTAAGATCTATCCTTATCCCCACCCCACTGTCAACCACCTTTGTCAGGAGCAGCCCCCTACATGTCCCTGCAGGGCCCTGGCTAGTTCCTGACAATTGTCTAGTGTCTAGATTTTTCCTCCAAAGCTGCTTGGACATCCTTGGGTTGGTTGTGGTCTGAGTAATGATGGGTATTGGCCTGGTGGGCAGAGGGGACATGTTTGGAGACGTGAGGTTTCTTGTGTGGCTTTTGCCAGGCAGAGGCCTCCTGGTTTCCCTCAAGCAAGGGAGGGGAGCTAGCCCTCACATGGTGCAGAGAGGGGCCTGACAGGGTCAGTGCTGGGTCTGCCAGCTCAGGTGACGGGGGAGTCACTTGTTGTCACAGAGCTGGGGGAGCTGCTTATGGTCACTTTTCTTTCAACCCCAACTTTCCCCTGCATTTTCTCCTTCACAGATGCGCGCTCTCTTTGCTATATATTCAATGTCTCTGCCAGTGGACCCCCATGGTGTGAGTTTCTAGGCACCATCTATGAGACCCCATTTTTTAAATATTCTTGCAAGAGTCGGACGGCCGAACCCGTCGGTCCTGTGGGGATGATGCTGAATGCCACAGAGGCCTGGAACCAACAGTGTGAACACTGGACGGAGCTGTTCCCTGAGCTCCAGAACGCACTACTGGACAATCAAAAACATATTGACGAAAACTTTGGTAAGTTTGCATGATCCAGTGTGGAAGTAGAGCAGTGTTGCAGGGGTTGGGAACAATCGTGTTTATGTGAATATTGGAAGTGTATCCTACCCAAGAGGCCCAGCAGGCAGGGTAGGACAGAGAGGAGCGAGCAGAGCCAGGAGACGGAGGGGAGCAGAGGGCTGGGTACCAGGTGGGGACAGAGCATCTGTGAAGACCTGAGGCTGACCTCTTTCCCCCTGCGGTAGGGAGAGATTCTCTTGCCCTGCAGGGCAGCATGATATGTGAGCAGGAATCCAATGGATGCCGCAAAACATTCTGGGAGTTTGGCTTCAAAGGACAGATGTGTCTCCGCTTTGACTCGAAGAACAGTCGCTGGGCAGAGTTGCACCCTGGATGTAGTTCGTTGAAAGACACACTGGATGATAACAGTGATATATCCAGATGCCTTGGTTGGATCTCAAATGGAAATTGTGTGAAGTTGCTTAATCAGAGCACAGTTCTGAACACAAAAGGTAACTGCAGAGGGGAAATTTAGGGTCCCTTGAAATGGCATTGACGCTGTGTCTGTGTTTCTGTGGTTGTGTGTGGTTTGAGAAACTGACCTGACCACAGTGGGTTTTTTAAAAATAAAGCCACAGGAATGTCCCCCATCCGTCCTTTCCCTTCTCACCTCCTCACATCTCTTCTGCCTGCACTTAACCTTGGGCCACTCGCTGTGGATTTCTTGCTGACCCCAAGCATGAGGGCCTCGTTCTGTCCCAGACCTGTTCCTTGTACTCTTCCCTCGTCTCACCTCACTTTTCTTCTTTATCTCACCTGCTTATTTCTGCAAGTCCTTCAACAGCTCCTTGAGTCAGCTCCTGAGAAGACTGTTCTCTCTCCTTCCTCATGTGTCACCTCCTCTTCTGTCACAGCAGGAGGGACTGGGTATGTTGTGACCCTGCTTCCCCCATTAGCTGTAGGAGCCCAAGGGGTCAGGGCCCATGTCCTCTCTTTGTTCCAACCCCAGGACCTGCCACAGTGGCTGCCACACTAGAGGGGCAGCACCTGTCCATATTGTAGGGTGACCTGGGGAGGCAGGGCTGAGGGGGCTTCTCTTCACAAATGGGGTCTGGACAAGGCTGACACTCTGGTGTTTCCCTTGCAGCTGCACCAATCATGGCCACAACTACAGCCCCAGCCCTAGCCCCATCCAAGGCCGTGATTATCAGGGACATCATCGCCTTGATCCTCACACTGATTTTTATCTTACTCACACTTGGCATCTAGGCTGGATCCGTTACAGGTACGGAGGAACAGGTAACAGGTACGGAGGGCATAACTGAGTGGGAAGTGGGGTGCAGAAGGCCTACAGTGAGGGCAGGGAAGGTGGCTTCCCAGCCTGACACCTGTACCCTCACTGAACGTGGAAAGGAGACCAGGACAGTAAGACCTAGTACCACTTGCCAGCAGTCACGTGGACTAGCTCAGCCCCCAGATCCGCTGCCTCCTCACTGTGGGTGCCAGAGGGACAGGCAGGGGCCCACACCAAGGCCTAAGGCCCGCTGGTGCTGCAGGGTTTAGTGATTCAGTCCTGACTCAGAGTCTCTGTTGGGAGAGAGTGATTGGGCCCAAGGTGGGTGGTGTGGGGACAGCAGGCACACAGGGCAAGGCAGTGCTCACATTCAGGTGAGAGCAGCATGGTGGCTGCATGGAATGCGTCCAGGGGACGGGGACTGTCCAGGGGGCTGAGAGGAGGGAGCCTGGGTGTATCCCAAGAAGAAGGTTGGAAGGGGTTGCAGACCCAACTCAAAAGGCTGGAGTTGGCTGCTCTGTTTCCACAGAAAGTTGCCTGGGGACAACAGGTAAGGCAGCGGTTGGACAGTAGGGACTGTGCCAGAGGAGGGTAGAGGGGCCACTTCTCCGGAAGCCCTGGGACTCCTGGCTGAGCCCTGGTGTGATCAGCTGGCAGCCAGCCTCCTCCAGACCCCAGATCCAGAGCGAGTGAAGTTCCCTTCCCTGAGCAGGGGGGACTGGGGAGGGGGGTGGGGCTGAGCTGCTGGTGGAGGGGGATGCTGTCAGCTGACTGCAGCAGGAGTGCAGGGGGCAGGGCAGGGACAGTGGCTCTCAGAGTGGTGTGCTGGGACCAGGGCGAGGAGAGCTTCCTTTGCCCCCTGAGTCCTTGCCCCACCTGTCATTAGCCTGACTTGGTCTGACTGTCATGTGATAAAGAAGGGAGGACATGGGTGCCCACTGCAGGACCCAGTGAGCGGGAGTGTGTGAGTCTCAGGGAGGACGGGGCTCTGAGATGGAAGGGTTGGGGCTGGTCACTCCAGGGGAACTGACCCCGGATTCCCTCAGTCACCCAGACAAACATGTGCTTCTTTTTTTCTGATGGCAGAAGATGCTTCTCAGAAAATCCTGAAAATGTGATCTAGTTCAGCTTGTGTCCCGTCTGGTTGGCTGCCTTTCTGTCATCTCCAGCTGCTTACCTGTTGACCTCCAGGAGATACAGCCCTTGCAGCCTCCAAAAGATTGCGGTGCTACAGAGGAAGCAACATGCATTTTCTCTACTCAGGGCATAGGGTCTTTCTGCACTTTTTTTTGACATTTGCTTTTATTTTCTGTTTGTGTCAGTTGTTGGGATAATTGCTGGGGTTCTTGCAGTAAGTCTTCTTTCTTTTTAAACATTGTATTTATTTGATTGTTGCAATGAGTCTTCTTTCTCTTTACAGATAAATATTTTATTTATTTGATTCTTGCACTGAGTCTTCTTTCTGTTTAAAGATTTTATTTCTTTTTAAAGAGAGGGGAAGGGAGGGAGAAAGAGAGGGAGAGAAACATCAATGCGTGATTGCCCTCCCCATTGGGGACCTGGCCTGCAACCCAGGCATGTGTCCTGACTGGGAATCCAACCAGTGACCCTTTGGTTCCCAGGCCCATGCTCAATCCACTGAGCCACACCAGCCAGGGCTTTTAAAAAAAAATATATATATATATATTTTTATATATATACACATATATATAAATATATATATAAAATATATATATAAAATATATATATATAATATATATATATTTTTTATTGCTGTTCAAGTACAGTTGTTTCCATTTTCTCCCCTACACTCACCCCCACCCCAGCCATTCCCACTTCCCACCCTCGATCCACTCCCCTTTGGCGTTCTCCATGTGTCCTTTATACATGTTCTTCCACAACCCTTCCTCCTTTCCCCCCATTATCCCCTCCCAGCTCCCCTCTGGTTACTGTGTTCTTAATTTTAATGTCTCTGGTTACATTTTGCTTGTTTCTTTGTTTTGTTGTTTAGTTTCCTGTTAAAGGTGAGATCATATGGTATTTGTCTTTCACTGCCTGGCTTGTTTCGCTTAGCATAATTCTCTCGAGTTCCATCCTCGCTGTTGTAAAAGGGTAGGAGCTCCTTCTTTCTTTCTGCTGAGTAGCATCCCATCGTGTAAATGTACCACAGTTTTCTGATCCACTCACTTACTGATGGGCACTTACATTGCTTCCAGCTCTTGGCTATTGTAAATTGTGCTGCTATGAACATTGGGGTGCATAGGTTCTTTTGGATGAGTGTTTCAGGGTTGTTGGGGTACCATCCCAGCAGTGGAATTGCTGGGTCAAAAGGCAGTTCCATTTTCAGTTTTCTGTGGGAATTCCATACTGTTTTCTACAGTGGCTGCACCAGTCTGCATTCCCACCAACAGTGCACTAGGGTTCCCTTTTCTCCACACCCTCTCCAACACTTGTTGTTTGTTGATTTCACACTGAGTCTTCTAATGCTTCAACAAGTGATGTGAGAAAAAGAACACCTTCCATCTTCTCCTCTGGTTGTGGAAAATGGGGCAGATCTCTGTATCGGGACCACGTTTTTGCACATCACACTGATGGTAAAACACTGAGATTTCAGAACCTCAGGGATTCTTTGTGTGTCCTGTCTAAGTTCACCGTGTTTTAAAAATGATATATTTGATATTTACTTTTAGGAACTTCTCCATAATGCTTTTTAAATTTTTATCTGTATATAAAATAACACTATAAAATACAATTACTTAGGAATGTTGCTTCATAGCACAGAGAATTTCGGTGGTTGTTTCCCCCGTGTCAGGGAGCAAATGAAACCTGGGGTTCTGCTGTGTTGCTGTGGGAACAGGATTTGCCATCTTAGTCTTGTCGTGATTTCTGGATCCAAATCTCTTCTGCATCCTAAGGAATGAGGACTTTCCCGGTATTTCCCAGCACCCTCCACCCTGCAGTGACTTCCTTGGGGTCCCCATCCCCCACCCTCCCCACTTACCTCCTTCACTGAGAAGTCTCTCCTTCAGAAACGTCTATTATTTCTCGAAGTTGTTAAATCCCTTATGACCAAGTGTCAGGATCCAGAATGTATAGGAAGCTCCTGTAAGTATATTAGAACCTGTCAAACCGTGTACAAAGGTGCAGGAGACAGAATGTGAGGAGATCAGGGATGGAAAATACACTTTGAAAAGATTGAAAATCTCACGAACACTCAAGACAATACCAATAAAAGGTACAATATATACCCTTACACACCCATGAATTTGTCAAATTTTTAATCTATCAGAGCTAACCACTGGACAAGAGTTCCCTTGCATGGTTGGTATGAGGAGGGCTTGAGTCAACCCTGGACAGGCTAATCTAGCAGTGTGCAGTACAGTGCATTCTGTGCTGGTCCTACATGGCAACCTGTTAGTTCCAGTCCTACAGACCTGGCCCCAAAAGATGGCAGATTTATGGGGTTTTTTTTACTGTAGCATTGTTTGTTATAAGAAAAGTTCATCAACTTGTTAAATATCCAGCAAAAGGAAAATGTATTCAACATGCTGACAAAACAGTTCTATTTGCTCTCTACCTGGAAGACTTCTGGTAAGTCTAAAACTAATCTCCTTTTAGTAAGTCTAACCTAAACTACTCTCAGAAACAAAATAATAAAAATACTGGGTGAATATTTTTAAATGGTTTAAATACATTAATGCTGACTCCTGGCTGTCTCACACGAACAGCGGCCATACAGTACAAATCTCTCCACCTGCTCTAAAAGCACACAGCCCAGACAAGCGCCCAATAAAACCCGCAGACACCACCACAGTCGCAGGAGGAGGAGGTGGGAACATCCACATCCATCAGAACTTTTGCGGGACGTCACTGGGAACAGGGGACACTCCTGTGAAAGTGATGGGGACTCAGGATGCGATGGCACTAAGGGACTGATGAAAATCCGATTTGATGATTGTGTCAGGGTGACAGAGGGGAGTGCCCCTGGATTTTAGGAAATACACTCAGAGAACAGAGTGGTGATGGGACATTTGCGGCTGGCTCCCCAATAACTCGGGAAGAGTTTCCTTACTGCTCCTGCAATGGTCTTGTAAGTCTTTGCTTGTTTCAGAAATTTTGGGAAAGCTTTTAAAAATGAGAATTTAGGAAAACTTAATTTTCAGAATTTGACATGAGAAGGAAATGCCTCGATAAATGCAATGAGACCTGAAACCAGTGGTGTCTGCCCTGACTCCCACCCCAGAGCCGGCTCTCTGTGCAAAGACAGGTCCTCCCCCCTGGTTTCCCACTGCCCCTGCTGTGCCCCCTGCTGGTCAGCCCCGCCCTCCTCCCCCTCCCCAGCAAGGTCAGCCAGGCCTGCAGTGGGAGTCCTCTCTCACGTCCACACTGGAGCAAGGAATCCAGTCCACAGAAAGGAGGGGCAGGGTCCCCTACCTTTGGGACCTGTACCCTCTCACTTCCCTGCCACTGAGAAACCACAGGCATAATAAGGCCTCTTACACATAGGAATGTCTTGTGGGTACTTGGGTTCAGGGGGAAAGTGTGCTGTCCTTCAGGAGGAGGGTGACTCAGGAGGGGTGTCGCTGAGACGTGTGGAAATGAGCTCCTTGGTCTTTGCAGTTGGATCCTATGGCAAAACCTCTAGGAAGGTCAAGGGTGGAGCGCACTGGGGATGTTGGAAGTTTTGGTTGGAAAGTCACATGAGCAGAACTGGGGCATGTCATTGTCTGTGGGTGGTGCTTCTCCATGAACGTCCCTTGCCCACACCACGACCTAGAGTGGGGTCCCACTTCCTGAGGGGAAGTCTGGGGACTCTGGGGTCCGGGTGGGGCTTTAGTACAATTTCCCATCACATCCCCTTCTTCTCTGTCCCCCTCACGTGCATTGTGGGTGAGCCAGGGATGCGCAAGTGTCCAGGGAGGCCCATCCTAGTCCCACCTGGCCTTCCTGCCAGGTCTCTAATGCCAGCCTCCTGACTTCCTCCTGTTCTCCCAGTCACTTCCTCCTCGTCCCAGCCTGGTTGGTCGAGCCTTCCAGGCCCTTCCTGGTTGCCCCTCCCAGGGGTTGAACCCAGAGTCCTGCCCCCAGCCCTACGCACGGAGTCCCTTCCCACACACGGATCACCTGGACCCACCAAGATCTAGCCCCGCCCAGCCCGAGTCCTGCCCATCCCTGTGTGTCTCTTTCTTCAAAGCACACAGCACAGGCCCCTCCGGTGTAATGACTGCAGTGAATCATCCAGAACCTTCTATGTCTTGTATACCTGTCAGTTCACAGACTTTGCTGCTGTCCCATGTCCCTCAGCTTAAGTACAACAGGCCTGGTATCGCCTCCTCCACTTGCCCACAGTCTTAGGACAGAGGGCACTTCCGGGCACGTGGAGCTCATGGTCTTCCCTGCGTGAATGTAACGTGTGGAGCCCGAGTCCTCGTGTGCTGCGCTCAGTGACTGAGGGAAAGGCTGGGTGGGTGGGGGCGGGGCGGGACTGAGGGGCTCCCCAGTCCTCACACCTTCCCTCAGCCGGGAGCCCTGCACACCCCCCTCCCTCTCCTTCCTGCCACCACTCCCGCTGCCCCCATGAGGGTCAGGATGTTACACTCTGTGTTACTAAAGGGACACACAGTGTGTCCACAGAGCACATGGATAATGGAGCAGAACGTGTTCAAGGCCCTCTCAGCAGCTGTGACATTCTGACTGAGGACGAGGGTGTTAGGACCCAGGGGAGGGGAGGGGAGATGGTTAATTTAGTCTGGGACATGGAATAAGTTGCTGAACTTTGGGTAAGGAGATTATCTTCCAAAAAGGCAGAAAACTGTACTTAAACAACAATTAAAATTTTTAAAAATGTGTGGAAGAAAAGAAGGAGGTTGCCCTCCAGCATGTGGGGAGGCCTTGTCAAGGCCATGGGAGGTCTGGAAGGAGCAGGAAGCCTGACTCCCGCCCGCAGCCCCTGGAAGAGGGGGGTCTCCAGCAGCGGCCTTCACAGAGCATGGGCACCGCAGTCTGCGGGGCCCCAGCATGCCGGCCTGCTTGCAGGACTTGGACACACATCCGCCACAGTCACGTGAGCAAATACTTTATAATTTATCTATCTATCTATCTATCTATCTATCTATGTCTGTATCTCTCTATCTATCAGTTCCCATCATCAAAGCCTTTTTCTCTGAAGAACCCTGGCTACAACAGGAGGGAAGTGAAGGCTAAATGGGAGGTGATATGTGCCCGGTGTAGGAGGCCCACAGGCTCTTGGCCAGTGTGACAAGAATACCTCTCTCCCCTCCAGTCCCCTGGTCCTGCTCTGTCATCTGTGTCCTGTCCCCACTGCTCGGCCTCACAGTGGGACCAACTTCCAACAGTCACACACACACACACACTGAGCTCCGGATCCCTGCAACGT